GTAAGACAAAAGCAAGAAAATGAATTCCATGAAAAAAAAAAAAAAAGGCATCAAATAAGCTAAAAGTGGAAAATGAAATTTGGATTCCATTTTTCATGGAAAAGATTGGCCAATCAAACAAGCCCTAAGTAAAATTTATAGTTACAATATATATTTATTAAACTTTTTTAATTTGTGTAAAAAATAGAACAAATTTATTTTTATGGAATTGAGGAAGTATTCGTCTGGGATTGAATAGTCTCCCTGTCCATGCAGTTCAAGCCAAATAGCAACTCCTATCGGCTTCAACAAAAGTGACACCTAGAATAATTTTGGAGTCTGAGTCTAAGTTTGAGCACAATTCTTAGCAACAAATTTTGACTGACATGATTTTCAAATTTATCATTTCAGTTGAATACATTCAAATTAAATAATTAGAAAGAAAATTTTAAATTATTAGAGATCAAATATTTTTTTGAGAAGGAGTTGATAAAGAAAGTTAGAAAACTTGTGCTTGAGTTCATTAATTTTTTTTTTAATATAATATTGTCTCTTTATCTCATCTAAAAGTTTAAATTCTTAGATAAAAGATAATCTTATTTATTTAAATTTTGTACACGTCCTTTAAGTTGAAGACTTGATTAGTTGTTTGCTCGATTTCGGGGACTTTTTAAATTTTACTACTCTAGTTTTATATTGAATTATACCTCATTTAAAAATTTACTATGATTGAATATCCACATAATCAGAATCAATGAGTGGATGTAAGGGAGGGTTGGGACGAAATGAAAGTGGAACTGTAACTGTAACAAGCGGATCGAGCTTCCAAATCTATTGTAGTTCGTGCTATGCTGTCATCTCAAATTAGGAATTTTAAACATGGTTAATCGCCCGTATTCAATAAACTAGTATATCAGCAACACGAGCCAAACCCCACCCCCAGCAACTTACACCAATTTTACGCTCTTATCTATTATTATTATTATTATTGTTATTATTATTATTATTTTTTTTTTTCCACTTCTTGAAAATCATGAAGAGAATTTTCAGTTACAATCCATTATTTAGTGCATGTTTGACATTTATTACTTTAATTTATGGTTTACTACAAAACCATTTTCAATAATAATAAAAAAAAAGCTTATAATAAAATATTCTACACATATACCAAAAATTTTTCCCTACTTTTTAACAATACATTCTTCTAAAAATCACTATTCAAAACCCTTTTTTGTATAATAATGATTGTCAAACGGGCTCTTAATTAGATTTGTCTTCTAAAATTAGCGCTCAATTTGTACTTAATTCATTTATAACTGAAATTTTCATAACATAGTCAACATTGCACTGCTCTTAAATTCATAATAAACTACTTAAAATTCGCAGTGAATTGTAGAAAAAAATTGCAGTTTAATTAATTCATTTTTAATTGATTTTCTTCAACATTTGGAATCCTATTTTAGTATTTTCTAGTGAACAGCACGTGCAGTAGAAAATCATATATTGTAATGTATTCAAAGAACAATCCCATTTTTTTCCAACAAAAGCAATAGAAAATTCTTCCCCAGCCGTCCAGCTTTGGGTATAAATATACCCTTTTGCAGGTTACGATCCAAACCCACCACAGCCCTCTATTCCATTCGCAATCTGCATCAACTGCCGGCATCCCCATAAATTGTTTGTAAAAATGCCGCAATCAGTTGTATTGAACTATATAGTTCTGATTGTAACACAGCTGACGTGGGCATGGGATTTCCTTCTTTACCAGTCCTTTTTTCAGCCTTATGGGATCGTATTACCTGAATATATTGATGATCTTGACGTAAAGCGCTATGAAAACAGTGCGGAAAATGAGAATACAGTAGAATGTGCTGTGTGTTTATGTAGGATTGATGATGGAGATGAAATTAGGGAACTGAGTTGCAATCATCTTTTCCATAGAGCTTGCTTAGATAGGTGGCTGGGATATGGGCACGTGACGTGTCCTCTATGCCGGAATAATGTAAAGCCGCCACCTCAACTGGCGGCAGACAGCCACCAGGAGGCTATATTAATCAACTTCTACGCCACCAGATCAATGGATCATTGTACATGGTGGCTACGTTGAAGCAGAAGATATTAACCTTACGGTAGACCGTTGGATCATTTATTTCTTATTTTTCTTCAATTTGTTATACGAATATGGAGTTCGATTTCAGACCGGTGTATCTGTTTGTATTTTCTTGCATTGTGATGTGGCGAACTTTGACATAACTTGGAATATGCTGTTACATAACTTTCAAAATCAGACGTACAGTTGAAAGTCTAATAAAGTGCACAAATGATCATTTTCAGTTCAACTCAACCATCCTTCTCCAGGCCTCAGGACAAAGAATAAATTAATACAATCCATTTGGAACAATTTATAAATGATCTATAAATTTAGTCAAAGTTAAATTAAATATCAATTTCAAGTATAAATTTATAACTATTACTCATTTATTATCCACATCTTTCAAGGAATCCATTATTATTATTTTTTTATAAATTAATTTAATTTTTTTTTTCAAACGGTGGCTTAACCTTTTTCGATGTTTGGTACAACTAATTTTTGGTTTAAATTAAAAATAATGTTATTTAGCATTATGATGATAGAATATCGGTGATGTGACAATTTATGTGGAATAACAAGATTGAATGTTCAATTTTTATGAGAGAAAGAGGGGAGGAGAGAGAGAGAAAGAGAGGGGGGATGTGAGAGATAATTGACTGCCACATACCGATGAATCATTGTGAAGATAAATAACATTACTCTTCAATTAATCTCAAGTTCTAATCCTCCACCATGTTGTGAATTGTAAAACAATTATTTAAATTGAAATTCATAAACTTACGAGTAAGAGCTAAAAATTTCACTTTTAATTGAAAAAATAATTAATAAATAAAAAGTTTACTTGTAAGGGTCCGTTTGATTGCAAATGTGGAAAATTGGTGGAAATAAAATGTTTTATAGGGAATCGATTTATTTAGAAATTGTTTTATTTGGAATTGTAATTAATTGGTATAATTTTTCAAGGAAAATGTTGAAAGTTTGGTATCAGTTTGGTTTATTTTTTATGAAAATTGTCCATTAAAGTGATCATTTTCTACCATTGAGTCTAGATTTTGTTTCAATTGCCAAAAAAAAAAAATTGAAAAAAAAATTACCATACTGAATACCATTCGTTTGGCTTTGTTTTCCATGAAAATTGTCAATAAAAGTGANTACCATACTGAATGCCATTCGTTTGGCTTTGTTTTCCATGAAATTTGTCAATAAAAGTGATAAATTTTTTTATTAATATCTAGAATTTTTTCCAATTGAAAAAAAAAAAAAAAAAACTTGAAAAATATTTACCAACCAAAACATCATGAATTTGTTTTCCTTCAAAAGGTAGAAAATTTGGAAAGTTGGAAAACATTTTTTCGGGAAAATTTTGCCTATCAAACACTACAAAAGTTGGAAAATGGAAAAAATTTCTCATTTTCCATGGATAATATGGTGTATCAAATGGAGTCTAAGTAAAAAATGACTTACAGTAAAACCTTTATAAAATAATAATGTTGGGACCAAGAAAAATTATTATTTTAAAGGGGGTTATTAATTTATCGTTAAATGAATAATTTATTAAATTATGGAGTATTAATAATAATAATAATAATTATTATTATTATTATTATTTGCAATGGTGATGGTGATGGTTCAAAAAAAGTACATCTTTGGATTATTGGTAAGTTTGTTAATCCTATATATTTTAAAAATATGAATATGAACAATCTTAATTTTCATTTTCAAGCAAATAGGAAAGCAAGGATGACTAGTTTACATTTTCAAGAGTTTGTTTGTTGGTGTGGCAAGATGATGAATGCTATCAATTTCATTAATGCGGTTTGAAACAATGATGTGAAGACAACAACTATTGCAAATTATTTTCCACACTACAAGATTTGGTCAGATGAAAATATTAATATTGAATCAAAAGTTAATGAAAATGAAGGAATCAATAAATTGCGTGATACTATTTTTGGTCTATACTATAGAAATATGATTAATATCGAGCACATTTTAAACTATTATCGTGAAAATGAAACGGTGATGGAAGCTCCTATTGATGAAGATATTTTTCAAGGGTATTCAATACACCTATCAATGATGATCATGATCTAAATGATAGTTGTATTTTACAGTTGTTTATTCAAACAAGGCATTTCAAGTAGTCATAACCTTAAATAATTACTTTTTACAAAATGAAAAAATATGCCAAATATAGTGTGTGCATTGCAAAAAATTAAGGGTGAAGTTAAGTTTGATTTGAGTGTAAAAAAAAAAAAAATGCAAAAGACTTTAGATGTATATTTTGAAAAAGAGATGAATTAACAAAACATATTGTCGAATTAACAATTTATTAATTAGCCTCACCCAGCCCCCACATCACTCCATCCCAACCCAGTTTCATTTCAAACCCTAAAATTATCTCTCTCTCTCTCTCACACATGCACATGGACAGTGTCGAAGACACCACCTAGCTCATAATTGTAGGGATTTGTGTAAAGGATTATCAAAATAAAAATAAAAATTAGCAAACCCTAATCACATGCATAAATATACTCCATGTAGAAATCAAGAGAAGATTAATAGGGGAAGTATACATTGATCCATATTGTTTGATTGCTTGAACGAGTTATGATCTTCCAATTGATACGTAATCTCCTTTTGAATTTTCTTTCTATTGATGGAGATGCATCTCTAAAAAGTCACGTAAAATTGAGAACCATAACCTATGAAATAATAATTGAATGTCCAATTATTATCTTTCAGTTGTTCCAAATTGGCCCATCACCAATTAAGAACAACCATTATGGTCTCTACACTTTATTTCTATGACATTTAATACCCATTAGTCTAAAATTAACTTTATTGGATCACTTTATTGACTAATTTTTAATATAACACCACACATTTTAATATATATACATATGTGGTCCCATATGATGGAATTTTTCCAACAATCTCTCACTGGGTCATACATGTAATCTTACAAATGTACAAAATTTTATGAGCTCAAAATTATGCTATCATTATTATGGGTATTTCCAAACAATCTCATCTATCAGTTATGTTGATATAGGATCAAAGCAATTTTCGTCACATTTAGCGTGACCAAATCCATCAATGGTCACGTATACCCATACAACCAAATGATATAGATCAATTATGAGAGTGCAGCATGAAATTTACATGTTACGTGATCCAAACATGTCTGTTTTCAACTGGTTCAACCTTATTTCTTAAGTGAGATCCATATTAAAACTTTAATCAGAGTGAAAACTGAACTGAATACTTTTATTTGTGAAATAAATCGAATATCCATGGATAAAAATGTGTCTAAAATAGACAACATTCAAATACAAACTCCTACTAAACGGACATATCATCAAAAGATGCAACACCCATATGAGCATTATGCTCATTAAAGACCTTGGGTGGTAGCCATTTAGTAAATGGATCCATGATTATGGAGTTTGTCCTAATATGCTTTATAGAAATCTAACCACTCTAAATTCTTTCTTTGACAACTAGGAATTTAATGTCTATAAACTTTGACATCATCAGGTTCTTGTTAGAATACAATACTGCTATTGTCAAAATGGTCTTTCAAATCCATCCAAAATATGCCGACTAATGACAATATTCTACAGTGATATTCCATGATCAGAATCAGAATATCCAATTATATGAAATTGGTCTGATTGTCTTGAATGTGATCATGTAATCCTTAGTTCTCTATAGATACCGAATAACCTAATGGCTGCTTTCCAAATTTTCATCCCAGAGTTAATTAAATATCTACCTAGCATTCCAACAGTGAATGTTATATTCGGATGTGTGCAAATTTAAGCATACATTAAACTCCCAACTACTGAAATATAGGGAATTTCCTGTATTTCCTTTTCTTTATTCTTGGGGTAGTAATTGAGACTAAAATTGTTTCCTTAATTGTAGGGGTATCACTTGATTTTCATATATGCATTTCAAATATTTTAAGAACCTTATCGATACGAATCCAAAAAATACACCAAGAACAATTCTTGTATATCTATATCTTTAATACAAAAGAGGTATCACCAAAATTATTCATTTCAAAATTCCCTGACAGAAATCTCTTGGTTTAGCTTCGCTCAATAAGTTTATATCATTGCGACAAGCAGTATGTTATCGACATATAATACCAAAAATATGTTTACTCCCACTGAACTTGTGATATTCACAATCATCAACTGAATTCATCTCAAAACCAAATGAGATAATTATTTGATAAAATTTGTGATACCATTTCGAGAAATTAGTTTAAGCTCATAGATGGATTTCTTTAATTTGTAAATCATTTAATGTAACTTAAGATCAAAATGTGTCATAAATGTCATAATTATCCTAAAAGAGTTTTCATAGAAATCGGAGAAAAAGTCTCTTTATGCATGACATATCCACTCTTTAGAATTATTCATTTGAATGACTTGATGAAAATTGATTGATCCGTTCTTCTTTCGTCAGTTCATGCCATCCTTATTTTTTTGGAGAAAGATTATAAAGTCATCTAAAATTTTCTTTCTCCATTTTATAGTGGATTTCCTTAATGACATTTGTAAGAGGAAATCGTATTAAGTAAATATAGATTATCATAACCGGATAAAGAATTGATACCCGCAGTATTTAAATTAAGAAAAAGATCAAACTGACTATTTGCAATTGAATAATAGTAGCCTAATTTGTCCAATGTAGAAATAGAAATCAAATTCTGTCCAAAAGGACGGTACCGTGAATGTCTCTTTTAAATCCAAATAACAACCTGTTTTTAATTATAACCTAAAGTCCATATAGCCTTAACCTTAACTGATTTGCCATTGCCCTACATGGATGAATATTTCAGCATCAGTTGGCTTTGGCAGTTCGGCAACCTCGTAAGACACACTTATGTGAGTAGTGGTACCAAAATTTATACACCAATTATGTCTAGGTATTGACACTAAATTTACCTCAAAACAAACCAAAATGAGAATTGTACTTTTCTTTATATACCAAGCGTGGTA